AATCTCTGTTTTTGATGAGGGAGCAGCCCCTCCTGACCACGCTGCTCCGAATTCCCCTCCTCGCCGCTGAGATTGGGGCCAACCCGGCGGGGCTCCTGATCCAACAAGGGCTACTAGCCAGCCATTAAAGACACTAACTCCCAGGTTGCAGATCACTCGACGGGACCCGACCACATTTTCAAGTTTAACAAAGTCAAAATCCTCGAAAGAGATGACAACCGCGTGAGCCGCGAGCTGCTCGAGTCACGGTTCTCAGGTCCATAGTCATTCAACAAGCGCAACGAATTTCCGTTTCCATGCCCCTTATAGAGACATTATCTGAGCAGAAGAATCAGTTACGTGGGAAGGGCCAAACCCAGCAACAACTCCGACGACAGCGAGCATGACTGTCGCGTTATCATCAGTCCCACATCCAACGCGAAGAACGAAATCGTAGCAACTAATGAATCGGAAGCGGACTGCCTAGCAGTCACCGCACCAATTACGACGCCCAGCGGTGGTTACGAGAGCTAATAATTATAGTGAGCATGTGGGTGGCCGCTACGAACTATAAATATTGCGCAATCTGCGCATGTCTCACACTATTCTACGGTTACCTCTGATGAGGGTTCTCGACAGAATCCGAAACGTCAGGAAAATAAACTTCTTATTCCAGCGATCACATCTCCTACTCCTAGACTGCTTCCTGGAACTTGCCTGTTCGCTTATGTCGTCGCCAGCTTTGCCAGTCTCTGCGCTGACCAAACAACTTACCGGTTCAGACTAGGGCCAGGGAGTGGGAATAGAGAAAGTTAGTTCGATCGTCTTGGCGCATTTCCCTCACTATAGCCAATCTGATGTGCTTGGAGCTATCACGGTGCGCTGAAAGTCGTGGCTTGGAAGGTAGCTAGCCGACAGAATAACTCCGACCTAGAAGTCAGTCCAGTGTGGATTTGTGTGGAGTGGTCGTCTGGTGGACTCGGTGGGACCCAAGCCGGATGTTATGCCACGTTCAGGTGCAGGTTCTTGCAGCACCAACCACCTACGCCGCCTCCTGCCTCCAATCTTCTTGAATTGGTCGCAACACGGACCCATATGGAAGAAGAGGGAGTGTGGTAGATGCATGGCAAGTCTACCACCACTATAAACTAAACCACGTGCAAGTCACGAGCCCTGTGCTCACACGATAGAACTCGTCAGCATCTAAGGTCGAACTATCCTTTGAAGTATTCCACCGTAATAAGGTTGGACTATTAGGACTCCTACCCTTGACACAAAACACGAGAACTGACACTACCTTCAGTGGTTTCCCAATCCCGGATGTTCAGGATGACAGTGCTGCACCAGGTATTTGTCCTCCATTTCAAGTGAAACATTCGTACTTGTCTCTCACTACACTCCAATCTAAATTAATAAACCTGGACATCAGACTACCGAGGTTTACCGAAAGGCCGCATAAAGGAGAGTTTGCAGCGTAACTGTCAGTCCGGAGTCATCCAGGCTAAGAAGTTGTATACGTAGGGCACATCAGTTGGGTTACCACAGCAAACGATGTTGGAACAGGAACTTTTGGTCACGAAAGCGCAAAAACCTACCTAGCTTATAATAACAGTGGGGTATACACAGAAACGGTGTTAGGCTCAGACAAGGGGTCTATTCAACCAGTCAACCCTGACCATTATCCACGACTAGATGTGTGAGCCCAGTGCGTTGATATAGCTGATGGCTCAATGAGATAATCGGCAGCGGTATGTCAGATGAACTGTCGCATGCCAGCACATCCAAATCTCACCATAAGGCGTAGAGTGACGCATTAATTGGGGACCGGGTTGCGTGTTGCACACGTAGACGGCCTGTTCAACGTTGTCAGGTACTGTGCACAACCTCATTATTAATTATTAGACAGACTCGGACAGTCGAATGAGACTGGCACCGAGGAATCAGCACACTCCTCGCTATAGCTTATCTGGTGCACTTCAAAACCATCACAATGTCTTAAGAGTTATGGCTTCGATGGCTGCCACCTGAAAAATGCTTTGGCCCGTCTTAGAGCCGTAGGCCAGACAGCAATGACTCCTTCTAAGCGTGATCTTTATGGCCTTTTCACCGATCTGAGATTTAAGCCGCCATTATTGTAGATTTATGACAGCCTTACTTGCCTACCGGAAGTGAAAGCTCGCCCGGGTGTCTTACAAACCAGCCAGATGAAGTTAAGGAGGCGCGTAGGCTCATATTCCCATCTTTTATGCTTGTTGCAAAAATAGGATGCATGTCAGCTATTGATACAATTATAGGAATATATTACTAGAATATACTGTCCACCAGAACAACCAATTCCAGTTTCGCTTGTATTTTTTTTCGATACTGATCTTCTGCGTGGCTGCTGACAGGGCTCGAGAATGAGTCCCAAGGCATGATGCGATGAGTATGTCCCTTAGCGCGATCGATAAGCACAGCCTACAATTTCCCCTTTTTTGTCCCGACAGTTGCCCCAGCAAAATCGACTAAACGACGCACTCCACGCTGATGCTCGCAAGTTGATCCCCGACAACCCGGAGTACTCCGTTGTCATACTTGACCGCCGTGTAATATACATTGAAGTTAACACCATCTGTAGAATTCATCTGGACGAGATGGAGACGAGCTGAAAGTCCCTGAATCAGGGTCTGCCACCTCGAATACCCACCATCACCCCTGCCTGCTCACATCTCCAGCTTCCGGAGCACATTTTTTCCCTTCAGTCGGGTTGCCTTCTGCCTCCGGCGTCTGCCACTCACTACCCCTCGGAAGGCAGGCTCACTGTCAGTTGCAGTGACTACTTTGAAGTTTCTGATTGTTCGTGGGCTTCCTCGCCAGCCCCATTTTGCTCGCCACTTTCGAACTATGGAATGATCTTGCATCACCACAGCGTGGCTGCAGTCTTGTCTTTTTTCATATCCACCTAGGGTAGCAAGAGGACGTGGTAGGAGGGAGAGTATTTGCCAACAGCGTATTTCAACTATAGGGTGAAATCCAGATGAGAATGGGTGTAGTGGCTGACGCGACTTCAGTCGTTATATTTGGAGTAAATGACAGAAGCCCATAAAGACTCGACTGGAACGTGATAGTAATGCGTAATAAAGTTGTTAAGACGTAAAAATTGTTGCAGGTAGCATTAGTATGCAAAAATAATGAAATATAAATGGTTAATAGGGCGAGGCGTTTGCGAATTAGTAGGGTACAACATGATCACTGCATTTACGCTATGATATTCTCACCTGAACCAAATTTTATGTAACTAAACGGTCATTCTGAAGCCACGAATGAATGCTGTGTGTCAGGGGGCCCAGATGAAGTGACCACCTCATAAAGTACGACTGTTAATTCATCAAATTACTGTCCCCCTGTGGACATCCTGCGCGACTTAATTAATACGATGAGGAAACCCTGGCTTACAGCGGCCTGCTTCGTAAGTGCTTAAGAACCGGCACCTGCGTCGCACGCGTGAATT